CTCTCTCTCTCTCTCTCTCTCTCTCTCTCTCTCTCTCTCTCTCTCTCTCTCTCTCTCTCTCTCTCACACACACACACACACACACACACACGCACCCGCACACACACACAAACTTCTCTGTTCTCTCTCTCTCTCTCTCTCTCTCTCTCTCTCTCTCTCTCTCTCTCTCTCTCTCTCTCTCTCTCTCTCTCTCTCTCACGCACGCGCGCGCGTGAGAGAGAGAGAGAGCCATCGCCGCAATGATGCTTACAGTAAGGATTTGTCGCTCGCCCCCGCGCGCGCAACTCCTTACTGTAGGCATCATTGCGGCGATGGCTGACACTTTCTTATGCCAGACTATGAACAGTCGTGCATATCGCGCTCTAGAGGGAGGCCATAAGACAGAGTAAGTCTTTAAGGAAGGAGGGAGGGAGGATGAAAGAGACGAGACGAAGGTAAGAGAGGCTGGGATAAGAACGGAACAACAAAAAAAGAATGAAAGAAAAACGAAAAACAGACAGGAACGGAAAGGAATGATGACTATGGAATTGGTAGGTCACGAAATATCAACTGGTGGTGAAACTGACTCAAAATACAACAGAGCAATTCTAAGAAGGTGGTGCTCATATGAGGGAAAGAGAGTACTTGCCTGACGGCACAGACGGAGGAGGTGGTGCTCGCAAGGACTGGATCGGGACAGGCTGCGCGACCTGGGGATAGAAGCCGCCGGGACCTCCGGCAGGACCATCTTGCATACCCACGGAGCGAACAGGCTGAGCCACAGGCGGGTAAAGCCTCGATGGCAAATTAGACTGCCCTCCTGCTCCCCCGCTTCCTCCCATCGGAGGATAATACGCCATCGCCAATCCTTCCTTCCTCTATTGATTGATCGTCTTCTTCTTCTTCTTCTTCTTCTTCTTCTTTTTCAATTGTGTGTTTCTTGTAGTGGGTAAAACCTCATCTCCTTCCCCAACACCGTTCTCGCACCATCGAGACAAAACACTCCGCAGAACGTCAAACCACCCCCCTCTCAAACCACCCCCCTCTCTCTCTCTCTCTCTCTCTCTCTCTCTCTCTCTCTCCCCAGCGCCTGGACGCCTGCTTGCCAAAGCACTAGAATAGGACCCAAAAACTAGAGCAGGCCGCCTTCGCAGGCAGGTGTATAGCTCAGCCCCACCACAAATGCCACGTCAGACAGCTACTTCTTGTTCGCATGTTCTGGGAAACTACTAATCAAGTGCAGGGCATGTCACATATAAGATAACTATGTCCAACGCTCACGGACAATCATCTTTTCGCCGGTACAGAAGGGCATACGCTGACGTCTGACGTACGTATCGACCCTCCGGGCGAAACGCGAGGGCAGGGGAGGCTTTATCCCCCCTGCGCTCTATTCCACTTCCCCCCGCCAAAACCGCGGGCGCGTAGACCGCGCAATTCCGCGGAACTTCGCAGGTCCCACGAAAAAGATTCCCAAGATCTTCACAAAGGTACCCAGTGTCGTTCGTTTCAGTGGCGTCCGCACGCTTCTCGACCCTGAATCTACCCGTTGGACGTGGAAAGATACATTCACAGTGTTTATTTTCTGTTTCGGGAAGTGGTCCGTTTGGATGTCTCCCGTGGTACAGCCATTTTTCTGTTCTCTTTTTGGGCTCGCTGTAGTACTCATCAAATGTGCAAATTCGCGCAGGAATCCGGCCTCAGAACGTGGAGAGGTATCGACTTACCGTGAGGGCACGGGTGCGCAGCCGGGGCTAGGTCCCACTTGCACGGATTAAGAGATATTGACTTACCGTGAGGGCACGGGTGCGCAGCCCGTAGTTCGTTTGTTTATGCCGTTCGGGAAGGGTAAGGTAGTGATTATCCTGTATGTATGTTTTGTCATGTTCGCTATACACAACTCGAAGAGTGTGTGTGTGTGGGGTGACGGTTGGTGCTTTATTCATGATGTTCATGGGACGCTGGACCCTGTTTCCAGCAGGTGGCGCTCCCCATCAATAGGCAGGAGAATGTGCGTGTGTGTGTGTGTGTGTGTGTGTGTGTGTGTGTGTGTGTGTG